TTCCAACTCACTGCCCAGGAACCAACCCCAACATAACCTATCTTTGTTCACCTTAGGCCCCCAAAAACCAACCCCAATTCGGCCAACCTATACCCCAAAATACCCTGCACTTCTTCTTCCTCAAAACCATGTCAAACCACTCCCAAAACATGTCCCATAGAGATTTAGTTGCTGAACAGAATAAACTCAAGAAGGAGCTTGATGCTTTGATGAAAAAGATTGGAGAGTTCACAAATTCAGTGGACATTCCGACCTTTGAAGGAAGAAACGATCCGGAGAAGTTCCTACAATGGCTCAAGAAGGTTGAACATATCCTAATCCTCAAGAATATGCCTGAAGGCAAAATGGTCAAGCTTGTAGCATCCCGGCTCCAACGAAACGCTTCCACTTGGTGGACACATATTTCCATTAAGAGAAAGTTCGAAGGAATACCCAAAGTACAAACTTGGGAGAAGATGAGGAAGCTGATGATCAAGAGATTTTTGCCAAGAGATTACCATCACATGGTTCCCCCAAAAGCCGTTAAAACTCACGTCCCAACCGTACCTTCGTCTCCACAAAAACCGCCCCATGAAGCCCCTCCAAAAACACCCAGAGCAAGCACCCTACACACGGCCACAACCATCCCCATTCAATCACTCACACCTACAATTCAAACACCATCTAAACACATCTCTGTTTCTTCCTTAGCTACTGCCCAAAATATTCCCCAAACCTCTCCCACACCTACGGCTCAAAAACCACTTAACGCCATGCCATTACCTTCCAAAACTACTGCCCAAATTGCCCCCAATATCACTTCAACACCCATGCCCCAATACTCCTCAATAACCAACGCCTCTTTGTCTCTAACCCCTGCCCAAACGAACCCCAAAACCCTCTCTGTTATACCCGAGATCCGGGGTATAATCAAGTTGCTATTTGAAGATGGAATTATGGAATGGTGAAGAGGAAATGAGGGGGACGAAATATGGGGTTGGAACAAAGAGTTGTTTTTTTGGGTTTTTGATGAAAGAAAAGAATAAGTTCAAGAAGAAGAAATGGTGAGAAATGAAATTGGCAGAGGTAAAGTGAAGGGATAAACCAAGTTGGTGTTAAGAGATATAACACACTCTTATCTTAACTTGGGGTTTGAGTCTAGAATTCAATCAAGATATGACACACTTAATTAAATATCTAGAACCTAAAACTCACACTTAAGATAACCACTCTTAAGATATAGATTTAGGAATTTAAATAGCAAACACAACAAGTGTATTACTAAATGGAAAATGGAATTACAATGAGTCTCACAAAATGGCCTAAGGCTGAAATAAATACACACACATAGAGGGGAAACTTCCCAGAAACATCCACTCACAAATCACAAGAATAATATCCATTTGTTTATGTTTTCTTAATGGAATGAAATCAGGGATTTGGTCTTTGATTTTCATGGCTGGTGGCTTGTCCTTTAGTAAGGAAAATCACAAGGAAATAAGTGATGATTCTTGGGAAATAATGGGGGACAAAGGGGATGGGTGATGGTTGGTTTTATTGGCCTTATATTGGGTCATTCATGGAAGGTATGTGGGGACTGATTTGGTGGGTGGAGTGTCAATAAACTCACAAAAGTCTTTTGTCCTTTTGTTATTGTTTATCCAGCCTAGGTGGGAGACACAAGGGGGACAATGGTTGGTCAATGTTGGGGAATAAAAGAGGGGTTGTTTTTGGCCCCCCCTAGTTTCGGCCTTACATGGGGACAAAGAAGGGCTTGATTAGGTTTGTGGTTTGACATGAGTTTTTGGTCTTTTATGTTTTAATTCAATGAACAAAGTCATGTGGGGTATGTTGATAAGTTGTAGTTTCGGCCAGAGGGGGAGAAGAAGGAAAAGGAGAGGAGATTAGGGTTTTGGTGTTGTTTTGGATTTTGGGGTTTTGGTGGAGCCATCCAGGGGTACATCATACTCCCCTTCTTCGAAGAAAGTTTGTCCTCAAACTTTCGCAGCACCGTGACTGATTGGGGTTTCATTAGAGAATTCCCGGATCAAATGGGGAATTTAAGAAACCACCAATAATGAGGTTCCTTCCGGAATTCGTGGACACCTCGTTGTGTAATTTCCGGAACATGATGTCATTCCTTGTAAGAACCTGCTTCAAATATATCTCGGAGATGAGATAAGATTTTCCTTTACCAAAAAGAGGATAATACTCTATGGAAATCACTTCCTTAGAATATATAACTTCTGGTGTGGCTTCCTCTATAACTACCTCATCAACCAAGTCATCTTGAATAAGGGAAGAATCATTATAGTGTGATTCTTCCTGAGCATTAGAAGCCGGTCCTTTTACGAAGACGTCATCTTCATCTTTGACATGGTTATCAAAGACATCTTCGTAATTTCCATCCTGTTGATTCTCATATACTGCTATGATCCTTACATGCTCTTCATAAGGAATGGCTTCTTTATTTGTGCACCTCCAATACTGATGGCCATAGCCACAACACATGTAGCACCGTTTAATAGGTCCTTGAAGGATTGCCTCATTTGCATAAATAATCTCAAGATTTTTCAAGTATCTTTGGATATCCATATCTCAACGACCAGAGATTGGAATGTCGTGATTCCAACTCTATAAGTTAGATATTGAAGTCCATAAAGACATATCAAAATTTCAGAGCCAATGAAGTATGTGTGCTACCTCGTTGGAGACAAAAGAAGCAAGTTAGACAGCATTTGGGCAGGACTGCATTGTCAACTTTGGAAGGACGTATCTCGCTAACCACAACTCCGAATTGAGTGAAATCAGTGGCCAGACGTAGATAAAAGATTAAACTTTCATACTGAAAAGTTTCACGTCAAAATCAGTTTTGCACCTTCTTCCGTGATCACTGCTTTGGGGCTGAAATTTTCAGGAGAAATTTTTTCAGCAGCCTTATTTTGTGCAACGTGGGTGAAGCTGGTCCTCCGGTAATCGTCGAGACTTGAGAAAGTCGTCGAAGTTGAGCTTTGATACCAAATGTTATACCCGAGACCCGGGGTATAATCAAGTTGCTATTTGAAGATGGAATTATGGAATGGTGAAGAGGAAATGAGGGGGACAAAATATGGGGGTGGAACAAAGAGTTGTTTTTTTGGGTTTTTGATGAAAGAAAAGAATAAGTTCAAGAAGAAGAAATGGTGAGAAATGAAATTGGCAGAGGTAAGTGAAGGGATAAACCAAGTTGGTGTTAAGAGATATAACACACTCTTATCTTAACTTGGGGTTTGAGTCTAGAATTCAATCAAGATATGACACACTTAATTAAATATCTAGAACCTAAAACTCACACTTAAGATAACCACTCTTAAGATATAGATTTAGGAATTTAAATAGCAAACACAACAAGTGTATTACTAAATGGAAAATGGAATTACAATATGAGTCTCACAAAATGGCCTAAGGCTGAAATAAATACACACACATAGAGGGGAAACTTCCCAGAAACATCCACTCACAAATCACAAGAATAATATCCATTTGTTTATGTTTTCTTAATGGAATGAAATCAGGGATTTGGTCTTTGATTTTCATGGCTGGTGGCTTGTCCTTTAGTGAGGAAAATCACAAGGAAATAAGTGATGATTCTTGGGAAATAATGGGGGACAAAGGGGATGGGTGATGGTTGGTTTTATTGGCCTTATATTGGGTCATTCATGGAAGGTATGTGGGGACTGATTTGGTGGGTGGAGTGTCAATAAACTCACAAAAGTCTTTTGTCCTTTTGTTATTGTTTATCCAGCCTAGGTGGGAGACACAAGGGGGACAATGGTTGGTCAATGTTGGGGAATAAAAGAGGGGTTGTTTTTGGCCCCCCCTAGTTTCGGCCTTACATGGGGACAAAGAGGGGCTTGATTAGGTTTGTGGTTTGACATGAGTTTTTGGTCTTTTATGTTTTAATTCAATGAACAAAGTCATGTGGGGTATGTTGATAAGTTGTAGTTTCGGCCAGAGGGGGAGAAGAAGGAAAAGGAGAGGAGATTAGGGTTTTGGTGTTGTTTTGGATTTTGGGGTTTTGGTGGAGCCATCCAGGGGTACATCACTACCAAAACCATGCAGCCCACTACCCCAAAGATTATTTGGGATGAATATGATGACGAGGACTATAATCCCATTTGGGTTGAAGAACTTGTCAAAGAGAATGAAGAAGTGTTTGAAGACGCAGAGGATAACCCGTTTTGGGGTACAGAGATGAAAGAAGAAGAGCAGGACGAGAAGACCCACGAGGAAGTCGTCACTCCTGACTCGGAAACCTCCGCTGGAGACCTATCTTCATTAACGGTACCTTGTACCAAACGTGTTGAGTTTTTTGCAGGTCCCGTATAAAGAGAGGATTGAGAAGAGTCGTGACTCGAAATGGTCCATTCAGCCCGGCGACCTAGTATGGGTTCACATTCATAAGGCGCGTTTATTTAATAAACGCAAGTCAAAGCTACAACCCCGAGACGATGGCCCGTTTGAAGTGTTGGCAAAGGTTCACAAAAACTCCTACGCGGTTGATCTTACACGAGGCCTAAAAATTACTGCCACGTTCCATCGAAGAAATCTTACCCCGTACGAGGATTTTGAAGATCTTCCGAGTTTGAGGACAAACTCTTTTGAAGACCGGGAGGATGTTATACCCGAGCCTGGCCCTATCATACCCTCCCCCATGTCCTACACCCTCGCAAAAACCAAAGGACTTACGTTCAAACATTATGATCCGTTTTAGTGAGAATTCCAGGTCCTTCAACCAGAGAGGCCTGAATAACTTCGGACCCAAGGTTTCCATAGACCAAATCCCACTCCGTCCAACCCAACCCTAAACATCCAAAACTCCTTGCCATTTAATTCATTTCAAAATAAAGCTTTTCCTACTTTTATTTTAGCCCTGGCAGAAAATAAGTGTGTAAAATAAAACCTTTTGTTTGTTGTTATTTTCCTTCTTTTAAGCCTTTTATTAAACAAATAAAGCTCTCCCTTTATTCCATTCATCCCCTGGTCAAAATACACTTCACAACCACAACACAACACCCAAAAAGAGCCAAAATCCTGACCCACCACAAACCACTAATCCCTGCCCATGTTCCCCCACAAATAACCCAAACCTATATGTCCAAAACCACCCCTAATATTGCCCAGCCCTGTCCCCTTTTATTGCCCAAACACAACCCCTCATTTTTACCCAAATAATAGCCTTAA